CATAACGGAGCACAGAGTAGCAAAGACATAAGAGCATATGTTCCCAGAGAAAAAGTAGAAGAGTAACTGCCTGAGATTTCCTGGTTCCCAGGACACTGAGCTGGATTTCACACAACAGAATGCAGAGGCAGTCCTCCAACAGGCTGACAAATGCCTTTTTTAAGTAAGTTAATTCAAATGGGTTTGCTACTTGCAGCCAAATAATTCTCAAGCCATTAAAAGAGGTCAAAGAAAAAACACTGAGTCAGCAGCTACTATGTGCTTCACAATAACTTTCTGAGGCATTTTAACCTTTTCAGGATGAGGTAAAAGAGGCTCAACAATACTAATAGATCTGCCAGACTCCAAAACCCAAACTCTTCACACTACACGTCATTTTCACTCAAGTAACATGCTGTTTCAGGCCACAACGTCATTCATCTTATTTTTTCCTATGAAACATTCTCAGATTAATCCAAAAATGTTAACTTTTTTCCTTTTATCCTGCCCAGTCTCTAATCTATATATTTCGAATGCCTTAACTTTTAGTAAATGTTTTAAAATAAAATGAACTTTTATGTATAAAGGTGAGTGGCAGAATGAACACATCTAGATATGTTTGTTCTGTTGTTAAACCAATAAAGTATTTTTTTCCTTTCTCTGCTTTCCCAGTTCATACCCCCTTAACTCAAGCCCAAGCTGAGTTCTTTTCCTGACCTGTCACTACACCTTGTTCCTTTCAAGTGGATGATTTTATTACTAAAAGGCAGACCACTTAACAGAAAAAGATCAAATTCAGCTTACCTAAATAATTATTCTACCCAAAGTTACTTCAATTACTTTTTCAAAGGCAAGACAGAACCACAAACACATCCTAAAAGCTTGAAACCCTTGCCAAAAGGTTATAAAGACAAGCAAAAAAAATAAAAATAAAAAAGAAATCTATTTTTCTATCCCTAAAATTCCCAAGATCGAATGGGATGGAACTTTTTAAATCTAGATGTTTCTTCTACCCATTCTGGAAAAGACATTTCCTAAGTTTTCCACATTTTCTCCAAGTATAAACAAAACTCCACTTATAACTGAGAATTCCTCTAAAAATGAGCTATAATGTATCATCTGATTGGGTTTGATTTCCTTTTCGAGATAGTAAGTTCTCAGAATTGAAAAAATAACAATATATATACATATATATGTTAAACGTACTATCCTTCTTCCAGCCTCTAGAGGAAAGGAGGACTTCTTCAGCTTCTAGACTTACCCCAGAAGTTCAAAAGCTAGAGAATTTCTCACCGTGGTTTCTGGGGTCTTTGGCGAGTCCCAAATCTTCAACTGTAACTTATCAGTATCCTAGGAGCATACCACTAAGCCCTTGTCAATAATGCAGTTATGTGGGTACATACACTAATCTCCAGTTACCAGTTCAGCTTGCAAACCCATTTGTTCTGACTGCCCTACATTCTTTGATCTCATAAACTGCTGTTAACAGCTACAACTAACAGTGAAACTCACCGCCAATCCCTGTGTCAATGCTGCCAGATGGAACAGAAAAAGTATGAATAACCAGGGTACTACTTGAAAAAAACGTGACTGCGTTTTCAAATATTAAGGTACAGTATTTTAAAGGACACTAAACAAACTGAGAACTGCTGCCATTTCCTCTAAAATGACATACAAGACAGTAAAAGCACCTTTGCATATAGTGTCCTCTTTTTTCTGAGTATTCTATATTTTCTGAGTTATTTCCATACATAACAAAATCAGTATCAATCAACACAACATCCCTAACAAAGTGGGAAGAAGCTAAGGAAAGCTTACGTGTTTTTGCAAGTGACTGAATAATTAAAAAGCTGAAGAGAGACCCGGAATTTTAACTCGTTTGCACTAAGCCCATTAGCTGTGTCTCAGCAGTATTTCTCATCCTGAAACTTCCTTAACATCTTAAGCTAAACTATCTCCAGTTCAATAGGCTTTGGAGAAGAGGGCTAGCAGAACAGAACTGTTACCAAGTTATATCACGGTGGTGGTTTAGATTCTACTGCCAGTCATTCTGCCAACGTTTTTTAATACTTCGGACACATCCACGTATTTTTTTTTTTTTAATAAAGTAGCATAGGTGCCTGGAATAACAGACATATATACTCAATCCATTCGGAATATGGATGGCCAGCATTTAAGCCACTAACCGCCTTAGAGAAAATTTCACAGCAATATAAACATCAACACTCCGAGTGGCTCTTGACCCCCTTCCGTTTCCTTCACAAGATCTGGGCTGCGCCTTGTTCCAGAGCTCAGGGGTTCTGACAGTGAAGGATGCTGCTGTTCGGGGACAAAGTGCAACGTCCTCCTCCTGTGCGCGCACCACGAACGCGAACTAGGCACACGCACCACCACGCACCGCGGCGACATGGCTCTGAAGACCACCCTGGGGATGGAAACTGAACTTGTCATTCAAAGGGACTGCAGCTCCGGCGCCACACTGGGGACCCCAGGAAGACCCGCCTCGATTCCGCGACACCCCCACCCCACCCCCGGCCCGGTGCCTCGGGGCTTCCTCCTCCCAGAGCCGAGCGAAGGCGCAGCTCCCGCAGCCCCGGAGGCAGAGCAAGGACAGCGGGCAGGCGGGGGGCTGGGCCCCTCC